AATGAATTGATACTCAAGTATCACTCTGATCTGGACGAAAGCGCTGACGCCTTGTCTGGATCACATCCCTAAGGTCTTCCCTACCTCCCTTTGACCCGCGATTCCTCCTACCCCTACCCGTAGGCGGAGGAGGAGCGTGAGCCGCGACACTAGCCGCAGGTTCACCCACAGATGTCTCTCCATTACTACCATTGCCACCATAGACCTGCCCATAGCGGAGGCGGCCTGCTTAGTAGCACGGAGAGCAAGATCCGTGGTGCGGCACTGCTCGGCTACCTCATCAGGAGAAAGGCCCTCGCCTTTATCCAGGTCTTTCAGCAGACTGGGCAAAAATGTTGCTCGCAAAACTTTTAAAATATAGCATCCTTAATTCCCAGATGCTTTAAATGTGTAATTAATAAAAAAAAAAAGGTGATTTGACACAGTGGTAAACATGCCTCTGTCCTAACATTTTTGAAGTGTGTAATAGCCATCAAAATCAACATTTGTTTATATTTACAAAAGAATTTAAACACTGTAATTTTTCTTTGTACTTTAGTCAGTTAAATAAAGGTCAAAGAGAATGGACAAATTACATATTCTTAATTTTTTGGCATTTCACAAAACGTCCCAACTTTTCCGGAATTGGGGTTGTAGAATGATTTCTGAAGGTTCATGTAACACTGAAGACTGGAGTAATGGCTGGTTCGAATGGAAAATTCAGCTTTTCCATCACAGGTGACATGACATCTTATTATTAAATAACATGTTATTTTAAATTGAAATAATCTTTCACATATTACCGTATTTTCTGTATTTTCCATCAAATAAATGCAGGTGAGCATAAGAGACAACCACAAACTTTTGAACCATGGTGTTCCCTTTCAGTCGGTCACTCTCGACGTCACGTCATGCAATAATCGCATGCCAATGTGCATTGGCTCGTTTAGTTTACACTCGAAGTGGATTGGTCTCTCTAAGCGAGATCCCAATTTCGTCGGTCATCCGACGTGACGTCTCCGTTCCCTCCTTCAGGGAACGAGGGTTACCATACGTAACCGAGACGTTATACATATAACCACATTATATACTTTATACGTTATGTTACGTTACGTTATATACATATATATGCCCCCACTATGTTTCCATTTTATATCTTGTGAATGAACAAATAACATAAAGACACACCTGCTATTATTGTTCTGCTGACCATCTCAGCTGTAGTGTTGTTTGTTTCACCAGTTACAGGGAGGTTTGCTCCCTTTGCCACCTCTGAGGAATAATTCACGCTGCCTTACACAAGATTTTGGACTTGATGCATTGCAAACGTAAAATCAATTCTATCGCTCTATTACAATAGGCACAGATCTAGCAGTGATTCCAGTTCTGCATATGTTTCACAGTACCCATGGAATTTGAATTATTCATGCCTGGGACCACTGGGAAAATAAACAACTTCTACCAAACATGACGTATGCTAACGAACTGATGGCACGATTAAATGAGTCATGCTTGTAACAAACATGAAGATGGGAGACTTTATTTAGTGACATTCTGTGCAAAAATATTTGCATTCATGTGTCAGAGTCCTTTGTAATTACATACAATCCATCATTTTAGCTGCAGCTACATTAACATTTATTGAAAAGAAAGGTGAATAATAGGCCTACATTTGTTTGACAATAAAACTCCTGCTATGACAAATAATCAAACTACTGCTATTCTGGGGCAAAGAGAAGTAAAATCAAACCCGGTTTGGTGTAAAATTGGGTCAAATCTGAAGGTTTGTATTGCCAGGCTAACAAAAATCACTGTTTTGTTCCAAACTTTAATGGTTTTTAAAAGCAATGAATTCTTAATGGAGTGCTATTTTAGCATGAGACTGATTATTTGTCCGGTTTATGCATGGTCAGAGAGAGACAGCGAGAGAATAGAAGACTGAGATGATTATAGCTGGCGCTGTATGGCTTTTAAAGCATGTGGGCACAAATAGAGTCAAAGCTTGACATCACGCAACCAAGAAGCGCTATCGAAGACAAATGAGGATGGAACTAACAAACTAAGAAGGAAACAAATGTCACACTTCCTTTTTCTCTGTGCTTCCAGTGAAGCTTGGGTTCCATGTTGGCAGCTTTAAGGCAAACTCTTTTCCTTTTTTAATGCTGATGAGTAGCCAGTGTTTATATGATGATCACATAGATATGATCAAGGTCAATATCACATACACATACAGTATGTACACAGAAACATAAACAACTATAAAAAAAGCAACTGAAAGCATATGCATAACTCTAAAACTAAACAAAAAAAAGTCTGAAAATTACTGGCATGGCATAATGTGTTGACACATCTGTGGCCATCAGGCAGCCATTAATGTAAATCAGAGAAATGATCACTTCACTCTGCAGTATAGCTGCCCATGATTCCTCTTGTTTGTTAATCAGTGAGCTCTTATGGAGCTATTTGAGTTCCATGAACTGATGATGGGTTCAGCGTCTGCAACCTCTAATACATGCTGTCTTTTCTTAGTCTTAATTTCAATTAAAGTGTTTATTAAACTGAGGTAATGTCATAAAAGTCGTGCATCCTTTAAAAAAATTAACAAGACTGTTGGGACCTTCTTTTCCTCCTTAATTTAAAGATGTCCTCCTAATATGATTTGAATGTGAAAAGAGTGCAATATTAAAGATGCATAATATCACTATACAGTCATTTTTGATTCCTAAATATTAAGAGCAAAGTGGACTAAGAAAAAATCAGTAATTTGAGAAAAATTGTAGCCTGTTGTTTATGCATGTCCAAGGATTATGCGGCCTACAGAACTTTATTGAAAGATCTGCATATTTCCATAGAAATGTTAAATCCCATCATTCAAAATCCTGCAGATCCCATTGCCTGCTTGTTTGTACTGTACTTTGTTTGTACTATTTTGATTATGTTTTCAACTACTGATAAGAATAGTAGCGGAGAATGGACGGAGACTGTATGTCTCATAACAACCCAAAACAGGTGCAAATAAAAGATTATTTATTTATTTATTTTATTTTTATTTTTTCCACATACAAGATTCGATTATTTTGTCACAGGAGAAATAAATAAATAAATCTAGCACAAGTAGGCTATCGTCTCCCCATTTAATTACACAGCTGTCTAGTAAGCAATGAGATATTACAGAGATCTAACTTTTATTTATTTCCTGTGCACAAACAACAACATTTTAATTAAATACAATTATTTTAGACATTCTAACATGCCAATAATGCAAGGTAACCATGATGTTAGGGTGATCTCTGGGTCTCTTTTATTCCAAATTATTTCAGAAACATGTCACTGACCAAGACCAGTGATGAACAAAATAATTGAATACTGAGTGATTTCAAGTTTTCATCGATCTGTGTACATGTTATTGATCTGTTTTGCACCATAATTTCCCCAGCTCTTGCAGTGTCTGCAGGTTCAAGACCACTGCTACGTCGAAAACAAGTCATTGTTACCCAACAAGAATGAATGCCTGTATAAATGTATGAAATATTGTGAAATTTATTGTGAGGTTTATTTATTTTTTTAATAAAAATATATGGGTGTTTTAGTTGTTAAATGCAGTTTTTTTTAATCCAAATAATTAGGCTCATTCAACTGGAATCATAGTGTGATCTCGTGAACTCGATGCTCCTCATTAGCCTGACAAGTCTTGGCTGTCTGTTCATGGCAAAGAGACCCATGAAAGAATGCAAAGCCTAGAGACCCTTATATAACATCTCTTCCCGCCTTTAATGAGTTGCATTGCAATTTTTTTTTTTTTACATCTGGGTGGCCCAAAGCTCAGCATGTGTACGAATTGTTTGCTCCAAATATGATACGTGACAGATTCAAGTGCGAGATGTTGAGAGCGTTTCCATTTGCGCATTGGATCATTCAGAATCCGAATTAAAGAAAACGTGATGTTGCATAAGTATCCAACGTTAGAGTTAAACTATAGCCTATGTGACATTTAAATATTTGCTAGACGTCACCGAAAGCATATATAATAAGCTGAGGATCGAGCAAGCACACGGTGCAGAACGGAAAACCTCTAAAATCACCAGCCAGTTCATTGGACGATGAGCATGGTACACAGCATCTCCAGGAGAACATCACGCATCTCCAGACGAGCATAATACATCTTTAAGGAGCTCTGCCTGCCGGTGCATCCATTGGCTAGCCGGAGGTTCCACTGGGTCCTGTGATTGGCCATACTTAATGATCCTTGGCTTATCATTTGCCCCTGTAATTTACTATGAATATTGTATGCAGGCGGAAAAGCTGCTGATAAATTTGAAATAGCTTACTCCTGGGTAAGACGTGTGTGTGCGGGGAAATTATATTTTCTGGGTTGATATTTTTCCATCACCTAGTGGAATGCTTCTATCCTGGATTCGGATGGGTAGGAATGGTCTCAGTCGGATATTCACCATGTAGATATTTCTGCTGCACGTTTGGAAAGGACTATTACGCAAAGAATGTTTTGTGCTAAACTGAAGGATTTTAAGATTGCGGGTGAATGCCCGTTTTCTATGGTCGTTGGAAATGAGGAACCCGCGGACTTTGAGGAAAGCAGTGCGGTGAATGTTTTGCCAGTATCCAGAGAGGTGCAGGGCACAAACACAAACATTCTGCCCAGACGCAAAATAAGCCGGAGCAAAGTTAATCTGCAATAGCTTAGTCCTGGGTGAGACGTGTGTGTGCGGAGAAATATATAGGCCTATTTCCTGGGCTGATATTTTTCCATCACTTATTAGGAATGCTTCTCTCCTGGATTCGGATGGGTCGGAATGGTCTGATATTCACCATGTAGATGTTTCTATAGAGGACTATTACGCAAAGAATGTTTTGCGCTAAACTGACGGATCTGAAGATTGCGGGTGAATGCCCGTTTTCTATGGTCGTTGGAAATGAGGAACCCGCGGACTTTGAGGAAAGCAGTGCGGTGAATGTTTTGCCAGTATCCAGAGAGGTGCAGGGCACAAACACAAACATTCTGCCCAGACGCAAAATAAGCCGGAGCAAAGTTAATCTGCATTCACTGGGCGAGAGCATCCGAAAGCTGGTGTGCCCGGAGGTAAATGAATACCTATGTTTGATGTGTCTAATTTACCTGATGATATTTTGCACCAAATTCTTATACATTGCATTGGAAAAATTGTTTTATATCTGCGTTATGTCCAGTGTACACATGCAACGCGCGCAAATGGAATATTGTAATTAAGAAAAATGTGCAAGACACCCAAACTACTGTTATCAATTAAAATATAAAAAACACAAGCTATGCTATATTTAATGTATTTTCTTTTTCTTTTAGTTCGAAAAATTACGAAATGCATTGATCACAGTTATGAAACAGCATATAGACATGAGTTGGTAAGATGTCATTTTTCATTATGTCATCTTACATCTGTGAGAACTTATATTTTTCTTTTATCACATTTCAAATTTTGACAATGTTTCGATAATTTACAATTTCCATACAGAATTATTGTGTTCATTCTCATGACAATATGTAGGGTAATAATTGTACTGCATCAGTATTTTTCCTCATTGTTTTATACATTACATTACATACAAATTATTAGATTATATAGCCTATAATGTTGTCAGTGTGAATTATTATATAGCTTATATTAGATTATATTAATATTGTATATGCTGAAATGCAGCCTGTATTTGTTTCCTAGTTCAACCTCAAATTCAAAAGTGTTCTAATGTTGTTCTCGTTACTCCATTCTACATATTAATTTATTGACTATGGTTTAATATGTGTGTCCAAAGCCCTGTAGCATGCAGTTCTGATGTGTCTCAGACAATGGACAATGCTGAACAATTATCAGATGTCATGAGAAACTTCTCCCTTAAAACAGGTAAGAAGAGGCATTAAAAATATATATTTATATAATCTTCATATTTATTTAATTTTTTAATGAATTGTACTGATTAAATCCCAGATATCCCCATGGATACGCTAACGATTTCTCTGGGTCTGGAGGTGTTTCGGGACTGTTATGAGGAGGACGGTCATATTCTCCGTGTGGTGGGGGGCGCTCTCCATGATTTTCTCAACAGCTTCAACGTTCTCTTAAAGCAGAGCACACCACCCACCCCAGAAGTTCAGCGTTACATCCACCAAGCCTCCATCCTCTGCCTGGACAAAGATCCAGGACTCCTAACCGTCTATTTCTTCAATCCCCTCCCCACCACCGAGCTCTTCTTCTCGGGTATCATCCAGGCGGCGGCGTGTTTGCTCTACTGCACACGGGTGGAAGTCAGAATGGATGTTGGGGGTAAAGACAGTGGTGCTCTACAGGCCAATCATCAGCCTCATCTGCTGTACTCAGTAGTAGTGAGAGACAGCAGAAGCCTCACACCAAGCCCCATGAGGACACACTCATCTGGAGACATTCCCCTCTCATTGCTCTACTCTACTTTTCCCTTCCACATTCTCTTAGATCAGGAAATGAGCCTGATGCAGATTGGAGATGGTTTGAGGAGGAGGCTCGGGCGATGCAGAGATGGGCAAAGGAGAACTGTTTTCAACGAGCACTTTGCTATTGTTTCACCTGAGATACGAGCCAGCTTCCAGGATATTTTAACCATGCTAAACACCCAGTTTGTGCTCCGGGTGAAACAGCATGGAGCGAGCTCTGCTGACAGCCCTGGAAAGGTATTTTTTGTTTTACCGTTTCGTTTCTCCCTCTGCAATAAGGTTGCCCTTGTGTCCTATGTATTGAAATGCTGATGCTAACAACGGGCCACCTGTTACGTGTGAAACTGCTTACTTGGGAAATTTTAAAACATGAAGCTTATTGCTTAGCTAAGACAAGTCAAACAGAGTGAGGAAAAAAAACACTTAGGTTTGCAGCTTTGAATGCATTCGTATGCTGGTTTGCATTTGAAATGTGAACTTCTAAAGGTCTATGTGTCATTTTATCACACCGACATCAAAGAGAAAAAGGAATCAAAGATTGCCTTGGGTTTCATGTTGATTAGACAATTAAAAAGCGCAACATGATTCAACTAATCAGTGCAAAGTAATTAGTAGGATTTTTCCTCATAGGTTTATCTTTGTGCAGATCTGAGATTAGTTTTTATGAGGTGGTCGAGGGGAATTTTTAATGGCAAGTCTCAGTTTCTTGGGTTGCAGATGATCAGTATAATAAGGGCAATGCAATAAAGTCCTGTACCACGCAGATGATGAAATGAACATGGCGGCAAATGTCAAGACGTGGAAGGCCCCTCAAAGCCTCTATTAATGAGATCTACCCTTACGCTCACACAAAAGGAATAGCATAGCAACCTCATACAGTACACAGTAGTACACACAATATACATTATTTGTACAGATGCATTATTATGAGTTTGTGCATTCATATGGTTCATGTAGAGTTTAGTCTTATGTTCTTTCCTTTATTAGTGTTAAAGTGTCCTTTTAGCAAGTTTTTCTAAAGACCAAAGCTGTTAGTTTGATACAGTCACATTGAGTTCATTTCATTTTCACCTCTTGATAAGCTGGTTGAAAAAAAAGAGTGTAAATATTGCCAACTAAAAGATTTGGCTGAGTTAAGCCTAGTGAAAAATAAATATACTAAAATGTATTTGAAATGCATTTATTTCATGCTAAGTATACTACAAATACATTTACATATTATGTACTTACTGTAATGCCGTGCAATTGTACTGTTGGTATACTAAACTGGTATAGTTAAAGTCTGCTAAATTGGAACAACTAATTTTGTGCTTAATGCACTTTAATTGTGTGGATGTAGTGCTGAAGTCCAACTAAAGATATTCTTAGGTATATTTGATTGTGCAAAAGTGGAACTATTGCAAGTATACTTTAGGTACACTTTAAATGTTTTGCATTTAAAGACCGTTATTATTCAAAGATCATACAATCCTCATCGATAGTGACATTAAAATAAATTTTAGGTTTAATATTAAGAAATGTGCATTGTGTAGTAGTACTCCAAATAAAGTTGAATTATAATTTTTATATCAGTAAATCTCGAGTGAAATGTCAGTAAATATGTTAATAGATTTGAACTATACTTAGAATGAAATTAATGTATTTTAAATATATTACTTTGGAAAGCACATGGACATCAGTCAGCAAAGAAATTATTTCCATATTTCCAATTATTTTCACAAATAAAACTATGAACTCAAGCAGGTGGTAGGGTTAGGACGACTTGACATATTCTGGAGCATACTTCAAAATCAATGTGCAAGCTAAGTGCATATTGAATACCTTTGAGCAAGATGAATGATATGATGTTATATTCAAAGTGATCTCATGAGAAAACTATTTAACATTTTGGGAAATTGGTGGCAAGTTTGTATGAAAATGTACAACAATTTTTTTTTGTAAATTTTTTTATGAAGGTCCACTTGTAACCCCATGCCTAAACCAAACCTTCAATGTGGCAAAAGCAGATAGTATGAAAACATGTGAAAAAGATTGTAAGAAATTCACTGGAATTTGCCAAAACATAAAATAGTAACAAACTGCTATGAGAGTGTTATTATAATATATTACATTATATTACAAAAACTATATTAACTTAACCTATGTTATAATATACACGTTTATTCATTTTTTTTTTCTTCATTGGTCTCATTTATAACAAACTAGACCAAAACTAAACTGAATTAATTCCCATTCTCTCAACCCTCTCATTGTAGCATATGGACCTGAAGGGGCAGATGATCTTCATGTCAGAAATGAGCGCTCTCCTCTTCCTCGGCTCTCCATGTGTAGATAAGCTGGAGGAGTTGACAGGCCGGGGCCTCTACCTCTCTGACATCCCCATCCACAATGCACTACGAGATGTTGTTTTGGTTGGGGAGCAGACCAAGGCCCAGGATGGACTAAAAAAACGTCTGGGTAAAGCCAAAGCTGCCCTGGAACAGGCACACCAAGCCCTGGAAGAAGAGAAGAGGCGAACGGTAGAGCTGCTCTTCACGATATTCCCAGGGAACGTCGCTCAGCGTTTGTGGCAGGGACTTCCTGTGCAGGCAAAAAAGTTTGATCATGTCACCATGCTGTTCTCAGATATCGTGGGCTTCACTGCGATCTGCTCACGATGTACGCCCATGCAGGTGGTGAACATGCTCAGTGAGCTCTACACTAGGTTTGATCACCACTGCGGTGAGCTGGATGTGTATAAGGTGGGTGAAATTGCTGTATAGCTATTAGCTCCAAACAAATAAAACTATGTAGAACATTTCACTGCCACTCACGACTGATAAGTGTTAAATTCCTCTTGAATGAATAGTGGTGTTTTTGGTGCAGTGCACAGTCTTCCTTTTTAGGTATTTCAGCTTCAAACTAGCAAACAAAATGGTGAATAAAATGGGGTTGTATTTTTTCACAGATTGCAAAAATATTCTCCTTTAACTTTATCTTGAGGCCCTTGGGATTTTTGAACGATCATTCACATGAAATCTTTAAACCGAACAATAATTAATTTCATAATTTTTGACATGCTGGCTCATTAACCGCTGAGAGGTTCGCTAATGTAATCTGAAGCAGAATTTCCCATACACATGCAGCAGAGATGAATTTCATGAAAAAAGACAGTGGAGGTAAAGTTTAGCTTAGTGTCTGGTTTTGCTTACATTCTTACAGACAGCTATATCCTAAAATAGATTCCCCTCTTGTCTTCTCCCAACATATCTCAGCTGGTTCATGATGTGTGTCTCAAACATCTCCAAACTGGATGTGCAATAGCAGGGAATTAATGTCTCTCAAGCTGTCAAGATGTACTATTTTGTTAACATAAAAAAGTTAGTTTGTTATGGTTTCAAAAGTTACAACACTCATTTTATGTTTTAAAACAAATTATAAGTAACGTGTTTGTGTTTCTTGAAAATTATTGCTTCAATTATTTTTTTTGCCAGATAGATATTTTTTTATGGTTTAAAAAAAGCTTTTTTTTTTTTTTTTTTTGAATTATATGAATAGTCAGTTAACATAAACTGGTGCATGGATGGGAATGCACTGGTGAGCTTTTAGTATTATGCAAAAAATATAATCAAATAAAATATAGTATAATATAAAATAATTATTAAATATTCTTAATTATTTAATTAAAACTGCTCCTGGTGTGTGCACATATGTGTGTGTGTGCACTTGGATGGGTGAAATGCAGAGCACAGATTCCAAGTATGGGACACCAATAAATGCAGAACTGTTCTATAAGTTGGTTTTAGCTAACACATTGATGTCACATGAGAAGCAAATCAGAATATTACGGCATGAACCTTGAATATACCCAGAGGTGTGTTATGAAATATTTAGCACTCTGCTCTCGTAACCTTTCATATGTCCTCATTTGTGTGTTCAAGGTGGAAACCATTGGCGATGCGTACTGTGTAGCTGGAGGCTTACACAAAGAGAGTCCGACCCATGCTGTCCAGATTGCTCTCATGGCTCTAAAGATGATGGAATTGTCTGATGAGGTCACGACTCCCATGGGGGAGGTTATCAAGGTTAGTGTTTCATCAGATTTTTCTACATTTTGTGTAGTTATAGCATGAATATGAAAGAATCAAATGTTCCATATAATTTTTAAAATGTTATGTTTTTTTTATGATTTTCTAAATCTTTCCTCAATTAGTCATGCAAACCTTTGCTAGACTGCTGAGTTGTTACAAAATAATGTTTCAACAGTATTGTTGGTTAGTAAAATAAGAAATTCTAATTTAAAACAAATGTGTGACTCATAAGAATTATATATTTTTGTGCAAACAAACTCCCACTACAAAGGGTGAATAATTTTTGAAAGGTCATCTAATATCCTATTTTAGACTCAAAAATAGGCATGATCAGTTTTTTCTTAACAATGCAATTGTGAAGTGGAATCAGTTATCAGATTTAGAATTAGATCATGAATACTGCTGCTTTAGATACAAAACTATGATAATTTTATTTATTACACGGCTCTGTGGAATACTTGATTCTGATTGGTCAGTCGCGACATTCCGAGGTATGTTATCCCTCGATAACAACCGGTAAAAGCTAATAACACAGGCTCATCCAGGTAACAGCAGTCGGCCTACTCTTGCTTGAACTATTTTTTCTTGGTGGAAGCTTTGCGTTTGTTTAGCTAATAAAATATTAAAACTCGATTCAAAATGGTGTACAATTATTTAATTATGGCACTCTCTCGTTCCATACAAACGCAGCTGCTGCCATTTTGCTACTATTGTTTTGTACGCTGTAATGGATTATAAGAGAACTAACAAACCGGCAAGATTTTAAAACATTTTCGTCTTAA